CAAATTAATATCGGGCAAGGGAGGAGCCGAAAATCTCTCAAAGACAGTAAATCGAGTAGATTCAGTGAAGCTCTTATTTTCCCTCTCAAATCTCTCTTTCTTTTTCAGTACAACCTCTTCAGCGAATCCCCAACATCTCTCATACACTGCTTCAACACTTCTTTCTTTTGGGACATAAATTCTTACATCATACACATCCAGGTTGGTGAAATAAAATGTCATTACATATAATCGTTTCTGCTTCCATCCACTCTCGACCATCTCATATCTGACAGCCTCATATTGGAACACCTCTCTCTTACTTAGAGCATTCAGTGATCTCAGGAGACACTCAACCCTCTCTTGACTTGGGTCCGAGCCTCTGCCAAATTTCAACCTTCTCTGTCTGGCTTCCCCTTCTGAAATTTCTTTAGTTTTCATGACCACTAGTTCATCTCTCCCACTTCAGTACCATGCTGATAATTGGTAGCCAATTAGTTCCATCACAGTAGCTGTTAGGAATATGAGAGATCGGAACAGTCTCATATGTCACTGGCATTAAACCTCATTCCACTTTCTTCTTCTGCTTGATTAAATCTGCCTTCTCATCATAAAGAGACTGGATTGCAATTCCCCATAACCAGTTGAAAACCTCACCATCGTCACAGTCTCCCTTCTTGACATAAGGACGAATATCATAGATATTTCCCTCCAAGAAGTGAACCAACACTATGTTGATGGTGAATTGTCAGAACGGTAGACCCAACAATGCTCATACTGATGGGGGAATATTCCTTTGATAGTTACTTTCGAGAGTTTTTTTCAATGCATCAAAAGTTAGCATTCTTGATGAAGTCTCCGAGCTCTTGATTCTTTTTTTCCCTTCTTAGTGTTCCAAGGACATCACGGGCTCATGGGACATACATGAGATCAAGCATGATTCTCTCCAGTTAGGATCATCAATCTCCTTCTCCGGTCCAGTGTGATACCTCACACAAGGGCAGATAAGACTCAGTTAACAATTAGGCTTTTGAAAAGAATAATGACTCACGAAAGATTGCAAAATCATTCTGGAAGATTATGAAATTGTCAACAGTTCTCAAAACCTAATCAAAGCTCAAAGTTGCTGGTTGACCCAGGCTCGTTCCGGACACGAGAATTTTTCATGTCCCTGGCAACGGTGCCATTTTTGTCGCACTTTTTCAGTCGGGCCACTTCAGGCGACCGGAAAGCCAACAGGCTGTCACGCAGGATTTTGTATGTCTTTGCAATAAATAAAATAAATTAGTTAAAGCAAATTCCTTCCTATTGTGTGCGTCCGGCTTCGAGCAAGACCCTTCAATTATGGTCTTCGTCGGTCCCCGGTCTAATGAATCTTCTATTTTGATTCGGAACAGCAGAGAAACATGCAAATAATAATCACAAATTCTGATATGTCGTGCAGGCATCGTTTTGTCTTTCTACTTTTTAGAACTATGACAAGATCATCAGAAAAAATGCAATCATCAGCAAAATATTGCAAGAAGCAAGACTGACTGAGTCGAGCAATGACGAAGCCAGATGAGGAAGAATGAGAACTCATAATAGCCTCAGAAAGTACGCATGTAGAGAGCATGGCCAACACCGATCAAGAGTCCTCACTCATCCCTCTGAACCTCACACTCAATCTCCTCTTTTTGTTGTCTGTCGTTTGGGTTTTTTGCCATATCTCCATACTCTTTGAGGGTGTGGTCTCTGTACGTAGAGTGACCTGAAGCCTGCAAGCTCCGAGCACTTTCATCCAAATCCTATGATACGGAAATCAACCATGGCACAAAACTCCTCCCATAATGTAGGGAGGTACGACTTAGAGAAAATCCCTCGTCTGAGATGTGGGAACTCGAAAGGCTCAACCACTGACTCGTAATCGATCGCTGCATGTGAAATGTATCTCTTTGCCAGGTCCACCAGGTCACTCCAGCAAGAGTCATCTGTGAGAGTGAAAGGTACCGGAGGCTTGGGATAGTCAGTGTACAACTTAGGTCCAAAGCTGCGGATCAGTTTAGTACGGCTCTCATCGAACGCTTTCTCTTTTTCTTCCTGGTAACTGGCCGCTGAGGCCCAGACAGAGTCAAAATGCTCATGAGTCTCCTTACCCTTTCTCACATAGAGTCTTAGGTTGTGAATGGTTTATTCAGCGAACACAGTGTGAACCACAAAAATGGACAGTTTTTTTTGCCTGAAGCAAACTGCACTGACATACTGATACCGAAAGGAGACCCTAGAAGCGACTTGGTTGAGGCTAGAGAGAACAGTCTCAGGGGCAGGGAGCGACTGTACTGTACTCATGTGGTGAATGATTTTACTGCTGGTTTTTAATAATTCTCTCGACGCGCCTGACTCCGTTGAATGATGTGTTTTGGATTGCCTGTCTTGCTAGCCAGACCCTGATGGCTCAACATTTTCTCTGAGAGTTTGTCTGGTTCTGTCTGAGAATCGCATGTACCTCTGAAGATTGGGTGTCATTTGAATTTCCAGTTCGTGTGCTGAGTGAAAGTTACTTGATTGGATGAAGTTTACTCAAATCGACTTGATGCCAGGTCGAGAACCGATTGGTTGCTTAACTGAAAACTGATTGATTGCTGATTTGGAAACTGATGGATTAAATGCTGGTTGAAAGTAATTTGAGCACGCTTGTGCTCACTTGAGCCTTGCCTTAGCTTGCTCAAGCGTCTCTAGTGAGGAGCCTGTACTATGCAATTTCCCACTTGGTTCGCAGATGTAGAAAATGTACTCAATGAGCTTATGATGGTTTTCTGTCCTCTTCACAACAATCTCTCTCAGCAACTTCTTATGTTTTTCAATCTCGCCCAGTATCTTATCCTCCCAACCTTTCGTTTTTGCCTGATATAAGGCACATGTCATAGACAGGGTATCCTTGCTTCCTATGTCTTTTTCTTAACCCTCACCTTTTCCCTTCGGGCTTGGGATTAAGAAGCACGTAAGAGTGTTCTCTGAACTTCTTTCCCAGCTAACCGCTCCTAGATGCAACCCTTTAGGAATGATGTTGAGGTGATTTAGAGTCCGACAACTTCCAGTTCAGGCTAACCTGTTAGTTTTACCACATGACCGAGTTCAGTTTCTGTACGCGCCGCGAGGTGCCCCCTGTAGTTCACGACACTCGAAAGGTCGTTTAGGCGCTCACTCCGTTCTGGACGCGGGCAACTCTGCTCCGGCTTAGCACACGGTGAAAATTTATCAGCAGACATTACTCTCTGTGTCCCCACCGAGGCCCCTCAAGACTTGTTATTATCGGGGTAGTACAGACAACTCCTCTCACTGACACCACTCTTGTCTAGGGTCGGAAATGCCTGCAACAGTCTAGGCCACTCGACATGGTCTTTGAGATCCCATTAGTCCCGTGTATAGCTTGATTCTGCCCAATCAATTAATAAGAGTAATTAAATTTAAAAAAAGGAACTTAGTTGATAATATCTTCGGGCTTTGCTTCTTTTAGTACGGACCCTACTCCAGCAACCTTTGAACGGGAAGTTGAAGCAGTTAATCTGTGATCGAGACATGCGGTAATTGTCTGCAAGACATACAATAGCCGGTCCACGTTGCAACCTGTCCCGTGCTAGGGCTCGTTTTTTTATCACACTCATTGCAAGAACTCAGGACACACGGCCCAGACGCACTTGGCTCAACGGGCCAGATTGCATGGTTATTCAGCACCCAAGTAACATAGCCTCGAAAGGTGAACTTATTCTTGTTCAGTGCTACAAGCGCAGAAAGCGTTCGTGTTTTAGTTGGGATGTTGCTGCATGTACTGTCTGGTCTATGTCTAACAAGCTAACACAAATCAGGACCCTTAGCACATCGTGTTACCGAGCATGAACTCCGCCCTCACTCTGCACAATGAGGCATCGAACGCGACTGATGTTTATGCACGGCACAAGTGGGCAATCAGACGCTAACCCCGCTCTCGCCAGGGGCGGGACTTCGCCCAGCACGTTCTCCGTTCTCTTTCGATAGGCAGAGGGAGAAAAAATAAAAATAAAATAAGGGTGACACAAACATCTTCTTTCTTTTACTGCATTCTTCTTTCTTTCACAGTTTTGCAGTTTTGGTGAAGAGTCTACCACGTTCATTTTTCAGCACACCTGCACTTCCTTCTTCACTTTTTATTCTCATTTTCWCCCTTCGGACTTTTTMTTTGAGGGTGYTAGGGTGCARGGTACAAAYAAAGTAAAACGACACAAACTTATGTTCTTCTTTTACTGCAGTCTTCACTGTTTTGCAGTTTTAGTGAAGGGTTTCCCACCTTTGCTCATTCTTGTACACTCTTTTTAGCGAACCTGCACATTTTTGTCAGGGTGCAAGGTTCGTCTAAGTAAGACCCTCACGACAGATAGGACAACTATCATAAGGATGCGGGCGATGGTAGCAGCCCTTCCGCTGATCTATAGGACGAAAACCATTCAGGTAAGCAACTTCGTCACAGCAGGAACCAGGA